TTTTATGTGTCCTCTTCTTCCACATTGGTGACACTTGATTATCTGTTCCGTATTTTTATTATTTGAAAACCATGGCTTATTTTTAACATTTTTGCACTGCTTCTTCGAATTGTTATATATTTCAAAACTCTTCCTTTTCGTCGATTGTCCTTTTGTGGCTTTTAACACTTTTAAACCCGTGTCACGGTTCTCATTATTTAACTTAACCTCATGGTCTAAGAGTCTTGTTTTTACGAATGCTAGTGTTAAATTGTCTTCCGATAAAGTCTCTATAGCTGTTATTATACCATCGTAGCACGAAGGTAACGTTAATAAAAGATGTGACACTTTGTCTATTTCTTCCAATTTCGCACCCGCTGCTGACAATTCCGAAATCAAATTTTCAAAAATTGTAAAATGTTTTATCAACGGGGCATCACTTTGGAGTCTTAACGTTAATAATTGTTTTCTTAAGGATAATTGTGTAGCAACACTTTTTCGCTCATATATAGAATCTAAATTTCGAAACACTTGTTTAGCACTGTCTTCCGTTTGCACGAAACCAAGTAGAGAGTCTGCTAAATATTCTATTATAATATTTTTAGCAGTTCTATCCATTTTATGCCACTCTTCACTAATCATGTCCGGAATTTCTTCGTCGATAACACTTATTAAATTTAGTTCGTCTAATAAGGCGCGAATTCTAAATTTCCAGACACTGTATTTTTCACCATCGAATGGTTTAATGTTTCCCTTTATGTTAAAACCTTCCATTGTCTTTTAATATTAATTCTAACTATATACTAAAGTTATATTAATATTATACTAGTCACACACACATGCGAAAAATACAAAAACACAAAAAAATATAGTCTTATTGTTTTTATAGTCTTATTGTTTTTTTACACTCTATCTCACACTAAAACAGGTAGCACAAAACTGTACTGGGCACCATAATCTATAGGAAATAGGCGGTGAGATAAAGTAATGATACTCAATTATATTTTAACAGAAACTTTAATTTAACTTTTGAAACTCGGAAAGGTACGTATTTACTAGTCAACGAAACCCGTAAGAATAAGAAAACTCGTAGAAGGAAAAATCCGTTACGAGTCTATAAACCCTATGGGTCCTATGGTGAAAACAAACATGTGCAACCTCTTGAGTCGAAACTCCAACGTTAGTGAAAGTTTACGACCCGATGATTTTTGCTGAAGGCAACACTTATTGTGTTGAATAAATCTAACAGAAACATATCGAACCGGTAAAAAAAATTTTAATAAACTTGAAGGGTTACGTGTATGAAATAAAATATAACTGCAGTTTGTTGCGTTTTTAACCGACTTCGAAAAAGTAGGTGGTTACTCAATTCGAGTTTTTTTTTTTTTTTTTTTTTTTTTTTTTTTTTT